ATCAATGACCCCCCAGGGCGGGGCCAATTTAGACCCCAGGGCTTTTATTTGAACAAACTTGGTAGACACCTATTAGAACATGTTTGATGCTAAATATCTTAGCCATAGCTCTTTGGGTTCTTTAAAAGAAGATTTTTTAAGTTTTTACTATATGCATATAGGGAAAATCAATGACCCCCTGGGGCGGGGCCAATTTTGACCCAAGGGCTTTTATTTGAACAAACTTGGTAGACACCCATTAGAACATGTTTCATGCTAAATATCTTAGCTGTAGCTCTTTTGGTTCTTTAAAAGAAGATTTTATAAGTTTTTACTATATGTATATAGGGAAAATCAATGACCCCCCGGGGCAGGGCCAATTTTGACCCCAGGGCTTATATTTGAACAAACTTGGTAGACACTCACTAGAAGATGTTTCGTGCCAAATATCTAAGCTCTAGCTCTTACGGTTTTTTAAAAGAAGATATTTAAAGTTTTTTCTTTCGGTTGCCATGGCAACCAGAGTTCTGCATGGAATTAAATTCTTTGAACAATTTTTTAAAGGTGACCACCAAAGGAACATTCCTGTGAAGTTTGGATGAAATTGGCTTAGTGGTTTATGAGGAGATGTCATTTAAAGTAAAAGTTTACGGACGGACGGACGGACGCCGGACGAAAAGCGATCACAAAAGCTCACCCTGTCACTTTGTGACAGGTGAGCTAAAAACACGTGTGTTAACAGATTATCTATCATCACTTTATCATAAGTTCATGTCCGAAAATCCAGATGCCAAATTATCATTTACTTCTTTCACTAGAATCAGACCGGCAAGAATACGTCTAACATCTATGATCACTTGAGATACCTGTCTATGCACGAAACATCAAAACATGTCTCTAACACTTAAGTCACTGAAATCTGTGAATATTGAATGCTCAATCAACGGAGAAAAGATGATAGATCAAAAGGAAAGGCTGATACAAGAAACTGAGAAAGCATTGTCAAGTGATATAGCTGTTGGCCAATGGAAACGTGTTGAGACAGAGGTGAAAGGTCAAAAGAAGAATGTAATGAAAGTTGTGAACATTACAATGAAACCAGAAGAATTCATGTCTCACCTTAAAACCCAGATAGAAGATTTTGACCAACATGTAATAAGAATAAAGACCCAATACTCTGAAATGAAGAATCTGAAAGAGAACTTACCTGATAACCACTGTATTATACACATGGACTTTAGTGAAAACTATTCATGTAAGTCGGTTCAGGAGATACAATCAGCCTACTGGAACCAGACCGCCGTGACTCTTCACCCTGTGATCGTATACTATAGAAAAGATGGGTCTGATGAAATACAGCACAAGAGTTACGTCTTTATATCCGATGAGATGGGTCATAATGCCAATACAGTCCTTGCAATCACTGACAAACTTGTACCAACAATTAAAGATCTTATCCCAGGGGTAACATGGGTACATTATTGGACTGACAGTCCTACATCGCAGTATAGAAATAAGGTTATCTTCAACTTTATAGCAAACCACAACGATATACATGGTATTCATGCAAGGTGGAATTATTGGGAAGCGGGGCATGGTAAGGGGCCATGCGATGGTCTAGGTGGTAGAGTTAAGAGTATGGCAGACGAGGCGGTTAACTCTGGCAAAGTGGGCATTCAAGATCCCGTTGATTTTTATGCCTGGTCACAATCATCAAACTGTTCCATGAAGAACATTAGCTTTGTGTTTGTGTCTTCGGAAGAATGTGAGAAGAAAGCTGTAGAAACAGGTAAACTGCATCTCAAACCTATAACTGGGACAATGAAAATACACTCAGTACTGGGAAATGGCAACAATAGCGTCTCAGTTCGAAACACTAGTTGCTTCTGTAAAATATGCGTATCTGATGATAGTGAAACATGCGGTACTTGGAGAGAAGAAACACTTGTCCCAAAGTCTTCAAAACCTACAAACACAGATAAAATATCAAATATCCAAGTTGAAACAGTTAAACACATTTCTGTCGCTAAACCCAATATTGATCCAAAAGAAACCTATCATGTTGACGACTACGTCGCAGCTTCATACTTAGGCCACTGGTACATTGGCAAGATCATCAATTGTGATGATGAGGACAACACATTCGAAATAACTTTCTTACAAAAACGCAAACGGATGTTTCAGTGGCCGACAAGACCTGATGAAATCTGGGTGAATTACGAGGACATTCTATGCAAGGTTTCAACACCTTTGGCAAGCGGCAAGTCGAAACGCATGTTAGTGTTACGAGATGGTGACTTTGAAAGAGTTGAACAAGTGTTTGATCAAGTAAACTAGTAATGATTCAAAAAGACATGTCCGTTACCAGCATCTTCGTTGAGGTGGCTGTTGATATTGTTTTCATCTTTTTTTTTGATAGTTTATTGTTCATATAATACAAGTTGCATTTGATGATTACTTCTGGCGTTATATAGACATGTATTCAGTTGAAAAAAGTAAAAATGACATTTATGTAACGGATATTTCAGAAACACTGCATGTTACAAAAACTACTTTTCATGTGATTTAACTAACAACTGACACTAACATAATATCATTTTTATGTGTGTTTCGTGTTTAACACTTGTTATGATGTTAAAATAGTTGCTTAGTTTTAAATATCTGCCTTTTCAAGACAGATAATTGTTGTTTTGATTTGGTTATAATATTAGTAACGAACATTTCATATATCATTCTGTTTGTATTTTTGATACAATTCCTGTGAAATAACCACATTTGGTCAATACTTTGGTTGCATTTAATCTTGAAAAGGCTCAGGTGTAAGATTTAAATAGAAGAATAAACGAGGAACAGATTGAAAAAAATTTTATAATCTTTTTTATTATAATAGATCACATTTTTTACTTGAACAAAATTATACACAGTTTAACTAAGCACATAACAATTAAATATTGTTATTTCGTACAAATGTTTTTCTAAATTTTCTAAAGAATAACATTTTGTTTCTTGTAGTGAAACTAATTAAATGTGTTTTTTTACCAACCATTTATTGTAAGTGACCATTTAAAGTTATTGTAGCGAACATTTCATGACAAAATTTGTACATCACAACTCTCCTTCGTCAAATGAGGATATGGCAACAATAACTTATGTTATGTTCAAAATATTTCACAAAGTTGTTGTTTAAAGGTTATATTTTTCGATTAAAATGCTAAATAAAGCATTCTAAATCACTGATTGTCTTGTCTTTGATACTTCCTTGATGCACCTGCTTATTGAAAATGAGTGTATGTGTCATTTGTTGTAACTCATTCTTTTACAATTAACCTTTTAATTACTTTTGTATGTTCAATTTGTGCAAACCCTACCCCATCAATTTTATAGGTATGCCGTTTCCATTACATTGACTTGGATTTACTTACTATACATTATGTAGAAACTGGTTGTAGAAAACCTACATGACAGAGTTTATAAACATATAAACATAAAGTATTTCAGATATGGAATTACATATATTACATATATGTTCAAAGAAACTTGTACTTTGCACTTGTTACTTATTCTTAGTCATTTAACAAGAGCCATTGCATAGAGGGGGGCCACACTCAACTTTTTCTTATCCCTCAAGTCAGGGTCTTTCAAATAGAATGGTCTGGAGACAGACCAATTTTACGAAAATGCTGTCTCGGTTGAGTCACGTGATTGGGTTATCTACCGACCGTGATATGGCATAGCACATCACCATTCAAAAATCACATTATAAGATAATGTTTTGTTAAATCAATCAAGAAATTACTATAAACTAACTCTGACTACATTATATTATCAGTTTTTTACTTTAAAAAGTAACAATTTCATAGACTTGAAATGAAATTAGGATTTTTCCGTCCCCGCGTGAAAATGAACTGATCATATTTGAAAATTGATTGAGTTTTCTAAGCTGTTTTTTTTAATTTATGCATTGTTCAATGACAAAATAGAAATTGATTTTACAGAGAAAAAAATGTTTTTTAATCGTATCATGTAAAAATATTATAATATTTCACGATACTACTTGCAAATATTTGATGTTTAATTTGGTGCATTTTCAAAATGGCGCCGATTATCGGCAAATATTCTGAGCAAACAGTCTATGTTTTTTAACAAATATGGCTTTAAAAAACATCATTTCCTGAAATATTTATCCTTTTTTCAAAAGTTTAAAGATTTTTAAATAACATCATGTCGTTAAAATTTTCATTTTTGCTCTTGTATTTAATATTCGCCCTTTTCTTGAACACTTACATAATTTGTTTATAGCAAACTATATTGATTTATACCGAGACATGTTTAATTGTAGCGAGAAGGGTTTACATAGCGTGTTTCCAGACCATTCTATTTGAAAGACCCTGCTCAAGTCAAACACATCAGAGGAAGAATATTATAGTAAAGAACACTCCTACAAAACATTTTTTGTAAGAAATAAAATTGAAATTAAATGTTTTTCATTGACATTCAAGGTCAATTAAAGGTCAGGGTCACAATTCAATTAATCACCATGAAATTGGGTTCTGCCATATTTGTTATTCTGTAAAAGAATGAATCAAACCCATAGATATATAACAAAGCTATGACAGTTCAAGCAAATTTCAATAATTTGACCTTGGCACATAGGTCAATTAAAGGTCAAGGTCATATAATTCAACATGTTTGTTTTGTCATATACATGTACATGTGTTCTTTTTGTCCAAGTATGAACCAAATTTATTGATATCCATTATAATAACCACACCATGAGCACAAGGGTGGGAACTTAAGTCTTTAGTTTGAACTCAACTGTATAAAATAAAATGTTACATATAATAACATTTTCTTTTTGGCATAAAATTAGGGTGTGAAAAGTCTTCAAGAAGCTTCATTGCAACTTTGGGACGTGAAACATCTATGTGTGAACTGTCATGGGACCCCCCCCCCCCAAACACACAATAAAAAAAAAACAAAGAAAAAGAAATTAAAAAAATATAATCTACAGCAGCGCCTACCTATTTACTGGATTTACAAATTAAACATAAAAAGAGTATGTTGTATAACATATATTTTCAAACAGATACAGAGGTCTAAGAAATTTGAGTCAATGGTTTGTTTTTCTTTCGGTTTCACTTTGCAACTTATCCGAAAATGTTCTATCCAAATATTGAAATCTAGACATACAAAATAAATGGATTTCATAAAAATATCAAACTTTGTCAGCTCATGATTAAGGTTGAAAATATGTCATAATCATTAATTTTATCCAACAGAATGCAATACAATACCTTCGTATCAACAGCTTGCACAAAATCGAAAGTGGAATTTGATGTAATGAGAAGGTCTTAGTTTTCCAGGCGCTTGTTTATATTAACACAATATATTTCAATAAGCGGAAAACTGAGAAGTTAAAAATAGCAAATCATTAGTGCTATGCTATTTCACACCTTATTAAATATAACCAATGCACTTTCAGCTTTTGTAGCACGTGAAGTTCCAACAAAAATCAATATTTGATCCAATCTTATCACAATATAGTTTCGTTCAAATAGGAACAAGACACTTCACCCTTCAGACCTTATATCCCTCAAATTTTGAAGACGCTTAACTTAAATTAAAAAAAATATAATGTGTTCAGCAATTTTTATTTAGATATATATTATTTTATTCACTTATATTACAGTAATTTAAATGTCAATATTATTTATTATTATTTATTACATGTAGTGTCTACATATATCCCACATTATAGTATTACGATTAATTTAAATTGTTTTACCATTTGTCTGTCAAAGATTATCATTTGTGCTTTTTTATGAGTTTAATGTTTATATGCAAGTATGTCGGTCAAAAGCTATACATAGCTTATGTTTTGTGAAATGTTATAAATATATATGCCAGAAATAAATAAATTTTGATTTTATTTTATTTGAAAGGTAATCAAAGATTGGGACCATCACGTACGCTTGTGTCATGTGGTACCTAAGAATACCTGGGTGGCATCAAATATGATAATTTGGGGTATTTATAATTCAATTCAATATATTTATTGCATAAAACATGTGACATATTTATAGCAAACAAAATATATAAAATACAATGGAAATGTATGGGTTTTACCTATGTTTATAGAAAAAAGTATTAACAAAAGTTTTCTGAAGAGCTTATTACATAAAAGAATGTTTGTTAGTTTCTCATTACATTAGCATAAATTTACATAGATTCTGAATAATTTTTCGGTTAGTTTCACTTAACAAGTTTTTGAATTTTTGTAAGTTAGGCCAGGTATAATAATAACGTTTTAAATATTTTCTACGTAGTTCTCTAAATTTTGGACATATAAGTAAAAAATGATATTCATTTTCGATCATATTAGAATTACAATTTAAACAGATTCTCTCCGTCCTAGGAATATTTATGTAGCGTCCGCGTTCTATTGCCAAATCATGTGAGGATGTACGAAATTTCGTTAAAGATATTCTGAACTTTGTTTCCTGAATAAAGTCGAGATAACTTTCTAATTTACATTCATGTTTAAATAAACAATACGTTTCGAGACGAGGAGAGTTATTTATTGATGAGTACCACTGTTGATAATACACATCCAATATCCGTTGTTTAATCATATTTACGTTAATTTGAATGTTAAATTGATTTTGCCATAAGTACATTAAACCGTGATTATAAAGTATTTCTTTAATCTGACTAGCCCAGTTATTACCATTATATGTATTTCCTAATTCAGCATCCCTCATCAACATATTATAAGTTTTAAATAGTAGTGATTGATTATCCAAAGTAATTAGTTTAACCCAGTATTTTATCAATATAATTTTTCGATACACATTCATTGGTGTCCTCCCTAATTCGCCGTATAGAGCATCTACGTTTGTTGAGCGTTTTACGCATAGGACTTTCCTACAAAATTTCGTATGTACAATCTCAATATCTGGTCCAGCGTGATGACCCCATACCTCCGCACAGTAATTAAGAGTAGACATTACAAGAGAATCAAAAAGATATATTTTTTGGGATACAGGTAGTTCTAATTGGTTGTAAACAATAAATAAATTGTGAAGTGAAAACTGAGCATGTTGAGCGATTCTCTGTTGCGTGCGATTCCAATTCCCGTTTTTAAACAAATGAACACCAAGATATTTAAATGACTGAACGATGTCAATACGCGAGTTACATATATAAAAATCATATGATGTATGACGACCGTTTTCAATATCATTATTTTTGTGATGATGATTAATATTTCAGATTAACAAGGGTCATTTAACTATGAGGCGTTATCAACTGATTTATTTCAATTTATGATATGACGTCCTACTGCTATCAAGACTATCAGATTATTGTGGTTCTGTGTTGGGGATGCGCTCATTGAAAGGAATTACAGTCAACCCGGCCCCAAGTTAACCCGGCTGCAAGTCAACCCGGCCTCAAAATTGGTCAACCCGGCCCCAAAATTGGTCAATCCGGCCCCACAGTATTTTTATTTGGTCAATGCGGCCCCAAAATTGGTCAGTGCAGCCCCAAAATCGGTCATTCCGGCCCCAAAATATATATTTTTCAAAGAAAACTATTCAGGTCATTCTCTTGTATGATGGAATAAAATTATTAATTGAATATTATTAACTATAGAACAATAGTAAAAAAACACGAACTGGCATAAAAGTGTCGATAAATTTAATTTCGCCGATTAAGACTTTAATACGCAATAGTGATAATGAATAATTATATAGAACATCAACACTTACAATGTATATGTAACTCAACATTATTTCAGATGTGATAACAGGCGCGTAGCTGCCTATACGCGAGTATGCAGCTGAATCCACATTATTTTGACCAAAAAAAAATTTTTTAGTAAACAAAATGTGGTTTGAAATTCAGCCGCGTTCGCCAGATCTGATAATAACCACACTGAATACTTTATAAATCATATAGCCTAAATCGTACACCATACCGTAGTATTTTTTTGAAAAGTTGTCGGCCTTTGCAGCTCTTCAAAGTTGGAAGTTTGCACGCGCCGTATTTTCGAAATGTAAACAAATGTTTACATCGAGTTCTTAAAGAAGTCATCAGCAGAATCAGCGATAGAAAAGAGGTAATTATAACTAAAATGTTACTATGTATGCCTAGTGTTTATTTGTTTCGGTCTGTTTGTTGAGTAATGACATGTTTGACCATGTCTGTGAACCGAGTCTCTAGTTATAATTACCTCTTTTCTATTCATCTCCATTTTTATGCTAAAATAAATGGATTTTCGTTGGTCAAGAAAGCTCTCCGGCGGCCCCAAAACACACCAAATTGCACCATTTATTTCAAAATTTTCAGGGGGGGAGGGGGGCATGCCCCCTGACCCCCCTAGATTATTTTGAATCCACATTCTTTATAGGCTAGCTACGCGCCTGGATAATCAAACAGTTTAAAGCAATCAATTAACAAAAAAGGTATAGCTGTGAAAACAAATCCTTTAAATTCGATGTAAAATAAAGATGGTTTCATGAGTGTTAATGCCATAATTAGGAAGAAATGCATAGAAACTGTTAATGGAAACACTTTAGTGTGCTTTTGGTCATTTCTTTTTTTTTAACATACAATAACATAGTAATTATTTGAACACATTAAGGTTTCTTTTCCATGATTTGTCAATAAAAAAGTTTAGTTTTTTCTTAATACTTCTATCGTAGAGAGGTATAGGTTGAAGACAGACGTCACCTTATTTTCGCGACGGTAAAAACAGTAAACTATGCATGTGTTGCTTGTTTGTTAATATTGATAGTTTTAATATAAAATAAATAATAAAAGATATCATCGTTAAACTTTTGTTGTTAATTTTTATTTATTTCTTGATAAGTGTTTATATTTTAAAGCAAAAAAAAAAAAAAAAATAAATAAATAAAAAATGGGGCCGGGTTGACCAGAAATAACATTGGTTTGGGGCCGGGTTGACCAATTTGGGGCCGGGCTGACTTGAGGCCAGATTGACTTGGGGCCGGGTTGACTTGTACCGATTGAAAGCTATCTATTTTTTTATATTTTGAAAGCAGTTCGTGTTTTGCTTTGTCGGATTTGGATTGACCTATATATTCATTTTCTGTAAACATTAAACCAAGGGCTTGCTATTTTCTTTTTACAAGGTACTTTTTTCCGGAAATAAATATTTTCCGCAAAAATCCCCTTTCGCAAAATTATTTTAAAGCGTCTATAGTACAAAGAGTAGTTTTGGATTACTCGGACACTTTCCTACGTAACGTCATTTGTCAAAAATAAGAGAAAATTGGTATTTTAATATATTTTACAAGCTATTTCACGCATTTTTATCATGACAATTTTTAAATACAAAATACTTCTATACTGCAACACAGAATTTATATTTGAAAGACCAAAACCTTACGAATTTTGGGCGGGGCTCCACCTGTCTACACAGACGTATGATATGCATAATATGACAGATTTTTCTGATCATCAATGACATTTCCAGATTTAATGATCTTGACAAACACATTCAGCCTAAAAAAAGTATTTTTAGGGCAACACTAAATTTACTAAAATAGCCTATTAGAGTTCTCATTAACAAAGCCATTCACTTAAACAGATAAACAGAGACCCCACAAATGCTGCAAATCTATGTGAAATAATCATTTATTTCCAACCCTTTATTTATAATATCCTGCAGAGCCAAATATGAAAGATGTGGAAAGCTGTTACGATTTGATATCAAGCATGATATGAAAAAGGCAAAGCCTCAAAGCTAGCTCGATTTACTTTTGCTGTGACATAGTATAAAATAATAGTCATTTTTATTTTACATTTTCCGTTTTAAAATTGTCATTCGGTTTTTTATACACTGCTTCCGTTTATTCTGGTTCTCTGTCCTTATTATGGTTCCCATATAAGTGCGCAGGTCACCATGCAGTCTACGCTTCCGTTTTCTTTAATTTCAATCAGAATACCTTGGCTTTAATCGTTGTGTTGTAATTCGAAAAGTTGCGATGTGTCAATTCTGTACTTGACGAAAGTTTTCAAAACCATCACTATCTAGCAGGAACTCTCGCTTTACTGTAAAGCTTGTCGTGCGAGCAGGCTACTCTAGCCAGCTCTTCGAGCTCGCTATTAAAATATTCAGTAAATGAAAACAATTCTTTCGGGATCTAGTAAA